CCTTAACTTTATCCTTATTTTGAAATGACAAAACATTAAGCTAAATAAACTTGATCAAAATTTTGAAAAAGATTTATTTAATTCCTGTTCTTAAGCTTCATATTTTGATACTAAATAAATAATTGTTTTTCATAGTGTAAACAAACCTTTCTTTGTTTTCATATTTCTCAAACTAAATTTATCTTTAAGCTTAAATAAAAGTTCAATTGTTGTTTTTAAAGTGAACTTATTCATTTTGGACTTAATACAAATTTGATAATATTGATTTTGAGAAATAGATTAACTTAAGAAAGTTGTTTTACAAGAACAAAGTTTTTCAACATTGAACTTGTTTTATTTTTCTGTATTAATTCACAAAGCTTTAATATTTGAATTTTATATGGTTGAAAAACACTTTGAGTCTACTTTCTAATGGATCAAACAAAATCAAAATCCAAATTTTTTAAGAAAAGATTTTGAATTTTTACTAGACACTTTTGTAATTGTCTAAAAACTTCACAATAGGTATATTTAAAAATTTACTATAATTTGTACACAATGAATTAGGTATAAATTTTATATGGATAGAAAGCTCTTTAAGTCTAGTTTTTAAATCTTTAAATGGTTTTTTATTTGGATTTGGATTTGTATAACTCAAGATATGATCAAATAAATGAGTATAGTGTAAAATAGGAGACAACCATTTGGCTTTGACAGGATCGATCCCTTTAGGGAAATGATCGATTAATTTTTTACCCAAAAACAAATTTTATCTTGAAATGGCAAAAGGGATCGATCATAATATATGGGGGATTGATCACCCCCTTGAACCAATCAATCCCCTCTAGGAAGGGATCGATTAGGTAGTGCTTTTGCAAGGCATAAATGGCAACAAAAAATGAACCAATCGATCCCTTCATGAAGGGATTGATCGGGTAGGCTTTTTCAAGCCATGAATTGGTTCCAAAACATGAACCATTGATCAGGTCTGGGCAAAGTCATTCTAACAGTTACTTTTTCATGCTTCCAATGGCCATTTTCTTCTTCCAAGCTTCCCTAATGGCGAGTTCTTCAATTTTTCTATATATTGGCCATTCCAACACACTAAAAAGATTAATGAATCAAGAAAGTAAGTTTCAACAAGCTATATTTTCAATCTCTCAAAAAAAATCAAGAGTTGTTAAAGCTTAAAATCCATATCTTTTATATTTGTTGTATCTAAGCAATATTGTGTACTTCATTCATCATATTTCTTTGTACTTCATTAGGCAAACACTTAGCCTTTGAGAGGTGTTCTAAGTTTGTAAAAATAGGGAGTAGAGCTAGAAATGGTAAAGTAAAAATAAAAAGTAGAGAAAACTAGTTTGTTGTGACTCAAACCTTTCCATTTTTTTTAATTTTTTTAATTTATCAATCAATTAATAAAAGTAATGGAATTTAAAATATATATAAGTAAATTTGAGCCATAAATTGAAATGTTTAAATCATGAGTAGAAATTGCATAGACTCGAATTGATCGAACAAAATTAGGTGTCTACAACACCTAAACAAAAAGAGATTGGTGACGACTCCTTAAATCTATATCTCACGTAGGTTCCTAGATTTATACGTTATAACATTTGTTTTTAGCAGTGACTTTGGGGGTTGGTCCAGTGGTTGTTATCTGTGGTGTTAGGGAATTGTTTTAGTATGTAAGAGAAGGGTTCAAAGGGGTGTTGGTGACAATAATCTTAACTGGTTGCTGTTTTTAAAGTATTTTGTTGATCTTTTGCTGTAATCCTTTTTCTTTTGCCAAGTTTCCTCATTTTTCCTTTTCCACTTGATTGTAGAGTTTTATATTACATGAGTTCAATTAACTTTAAATTAATAACAACTCATCTGGATTTTGGTTTGAAATTGGATGCAATCACAAAACAATTCTATCTCCAATTCCCATCCCATCCATTTCAACCCTATCCAATATATTTTTAATTTTTCAATTTTTGGTCTTTCTTCTTCTAATTTTCCAAAAAGAAATTATAAATTGAAAAAAAGAAAAATAAATAAATAAATAAATCAAATATTTAATTTGGGTTTATGACCCAAACTCAATCTCAAATCATATCCATAGCCCAAATAGCAAATTGAAGTTTAGATGGGCCAGTATAAAACCTAATTAATACATGAATTTACTAATAGTTTTTTTAAACTCGAAATTCAAAAATAATCAAAACACCTCAAACAAAATGTAGTGTTTATAAAGAATTAATAAAAAGTGTATTTTAAAGTTAACTTGAGAAAAAGATTAGATCAAATTAAAACTTAGAATACCTTAAATATATATATATATATAATACACACACAAAAAAATTAACAATAAGATTGAAGAAATTAAAAATCATCAATATAAAGATTTTGGCATTTTTCTACCTATATCTACAAAATTGGGGTCAAGGTATTTTATCTTTTATTATGATTTTTCCAACAGAATTAAGAATAGTCAATGTCTCCAATTTCTTGATGTAGTGATTAAGAAAGTTTTAAAAAATATGTAAAGTGAAAGTTCAAACACCACCATCTCATCTGTTATTCCTATCCAATGGATAGAAAAAAAGGTCAACGCATAACCTTATCACTTAATTGAATAATAGTGTTAGATTAGATAAATTTAGAGTGAAAAAAATGAGGTCTACGTTAGAAAGTAGGACCTATTATTCCATGCCATCTAGAACATCTTCGTCTTCACTTTCCATTTGGTTCCCTCATTTTTCAAACTTAGGCTATGTTTGGTTGGATATTAATAAAGAAACGAAAAAAAAAAAAAAAAAAGACAAGGAAAGGATAGAAAAGTTTTTCTTTTTCTTTTTAAAAGATACAAATACTTATTGTTTGAATAGCTATAATTAATAATTGAAAAGAAAAAAATTTTAACAACTATTATTTGATTAAAAAGTAGAAACAAAAGAATTTATTATAATATTATTTTGTAAATATAATCTTTTTATAAAATAACATATAATATTAAATGATTTTTTAAAATATTAAATTAGATTGTAAAATAATATCGTTAGATTCCTTTTCTCCATCTTCGAATATAAAATTGCCAAGGCACCCATTTCCTTGGCCGTAGTAGTTTCCAAGCACTTTCACGTATCAATTTCATGATTCCAGCAGTTCACCATATCTTCAAGTTGTTCGTAATTTCATCAGTAATTAAAAATAATACAAATTGTACTTTTAAATTATATTAAGCAAAAAATAATATAAGAAAGTTATATTATGAATATATTATGTGAGTACACAATTGTTTATGGATATATTTTATGCATAAAATTAAGAAAAAAAAAGAATTTATTTAAAAATTTATTTTTTATTATTAAAGTGTTTAATTTATTTATATTTTAAATATTTAATTTAGTAAATGACCCATGATTCCTCAATAAAAGAGAAAAATTCGAATTCTTTTTTTCTCAAATCAAAAGTATTTAGTTGTATCATTTTATAAAAAGTCCTCACTCTTTGTAAACATGTATTCAATTTAAAATCTATTATTTATATAGATTTTTTATTTTTAGATAAAACAATGTTTAAATATTAAATTTGAGAAATTTTTTTATATTTTTAACTTTTTTTAAGATTCAATGAGTTAAAAAATTATAAATAAAAATAAGAAATATTATAATTTGGGAGGGTTATTGATTTGTTTTAAAAGATATATCTAAAAAAATTCACATTACACCATATATATATTAATTATGTTATGTGGTAAATTTTTATTAATTTTATTAATATTACAAAAAATTTTACCTTAGTTGATAAAAAAATTAACGGTATTAATTTTTCATATAAATAAAGATTTAATTAAATGCAAAATAAATATTAAAAATTTGATTAATTGTAATAAAAAAAACTTGAATAATTTTTTTAATTATAGTTAATGGCTTTTTGCACCTTTAACCTTTTTATTATTACTCTTTTCAACTAATTTTTTTACTTCATATATGATATATAAGAATTTGACATGGTGGATAAATAAAAAATAATAAACAATGGGGCAAATTAAGAGGTTCATATTTATGTTTTAACTAAATTAATTAATTTAATTTAATTAGTCGATCATCCATTAAATTAATTTCAGTTGATAATTAAATTAATCGGAGTTCTATCTAAAATATAAGAAACTAAAAAATAGAAAAGTATAAAACGAACTATTTTATTTTATAAGTTATAAGAATTTTTAATTTAATAGTTAAATATTTAAATATTTAATTAGATAATTTTATTTAATTCAATTTAAATATGAGTAATTTATAATTTAATACAATTTAAATATATTTTAGTTAACTGAATTAATTTAACTTAAATATAATTAATTTAAAAATTAATCAAATTTAATTTAATCCATGAAATTTTTGCAATTAAAAAATTTAATTTAATTAATAAAAATAAAATAATTTAATTTAATTAATTCAAATTTTAATATTTTTTATTCAAAATTAATCGACCCAACGAAAATTAGCACAGTGGAACAAATAAGAAGCAGATGTGAAAGCAATAGAAGCATGGCACGTACGTAATGTAAGAAATTGTTAGCAACAAAACTAGGGTTGGGGTCGGATTCACCGTAGCTGTAGTACAATTGTGTTTATTATACTATCAATTAATTTAAAATATTAATTTTAATGATATTTATTTATTATAAATTTTTTATTAAAATTATAATAATAATTATTATTATTTTTAATTTTATTAAAATTAATTTTATTATCCATCTAAATAAAGTTAAAATTAAATTTAAATTTTATCATACATTTAATATTATATAATTAAATTTATTATACCATCAATTAAATTTAAATATCAATTTTAATATAATTTATTCAATACAAAATTTTTTATTAAATTTTTTATGATATTATAATTTTTTTAATCATAATTATAATAACTTTTATTATTACTGTTAATCTCACTAGTTAATCTCACCAACCTTCTAAATCGAGTGAAAATGTTCCACCTTAGGTTTTACTACCAGAATTCTACAACGTTAACTTCCTCGTTTCTGTTCCCCGCCGCCTTCTTTTCTTCTTAACTCAACATTTCACTTCACTTTCTCTGGTACGACCCTCTCTCTCTCTTAATTTCTTCTTAGATTCGTATACACATGTTTGTACGTACTTTTATACGTATAGTATAATATGGGTACGAAATCTTAGAGAACAAGGGAAGTTGGTTTTGCCTTTTCTTTTTCTTTTTTCTTCTTTTTTCTGCGTAGCTAAAGCTGAATGCACTGTATGTACCTCATTTCTTTGTTTTAACTGTTTAGTTTCTTTCTTCAGCTTAATGGGTTGTTTGAATTTAGCTTGGAATGCTTGTTAAAATGTTTTTTTAGCTGCTCGACTTTCGTCTTTTCTTACTGCCCATGTATGGGGATGAATCATGCATGTGAGGAACTGATGATGCATACATGTTGACATGATAGCTGAATTTTATTATTATTTTATGGATGGTGGAGGATTTTTTTTTTTAATTCTAATTGATTTCTTTTAAAAAGGTGTTCACGTTTTGCTATGTTAGGGAGTAATAATTTCTGGGTGAATGGTGTGCCAGTGACATGTGTCTTCCTTCTTTGAATTCTTCAGATTGCTAACTTTCTAATTATCTTTGGAGCTAGTGCTTTACTGCTGTCTGGGTTTTCGTTTCTGTTTTTTTTTTTTCTTGGTTTTTCTTTCTTCTGTTTCTGTTTTTTAGTGGATATTGCAATGTCTGGAATGGTTTCTGAAAATTGAAGAATAAATTCCTTTGATAAGTTACTGAAATTTGGAAAATCTGCTACGCAATGACATTCAAAAAAGATTTTGTCTGATAGACAAGTTCTTTTTAATGTCTTATTTCAAATTCAAAATTCAAGAACAGAAAGCATTTTTTTGTAGGCTTTCAATGTAGTAGCTTTTTTAAATTATAAAAAAATGTATGGTTTAAGTAATTGTATTTGTTGCGATTTGAATTGAAAACTGAAGGCTCTTTCTTTTTTCCCTTGCGCATGAACACAATTTGCCTTGTAATCTACGTTGTCAGTTGTGTCTCTATATCTTATGTAGTCATATGAAATGAATAATGATATACATTTGATGGCTTATGCATTAACTTTTACTTGCATATCATTCTGCCGCCATATATCTTGCTTGATCTCTTTTTTTTTTTTCCCCTCATCAGAATTTTATGTGTTCCTTTTCCCCTCATCAAAATTTTTTGTGTCTCTACCTTATTTAATAGTGGACTGAGCTCAGAAACTAGCTGTTCTGCTTTCGTTCACACATTTAATATTGGAAGATTTGAGTTTAATAAATTTAATTTTGGCTTTTAATCAGCTTGAAGGTGAACTACAAAGGAGTTTCAGCACATTGCTTTTTGGTAGTATGACTATTGTATGGCTACCACACAAATACTGATGGATGCTAATCCAGATAGCAAACCACTTTTCAGTGCAAAAGCTGCAATTGACAAGGAGAAGTCAACTCCCTTGGATAGCTTAGATGGGAGGAGTTCAAGGTGCATGAATACGTGTGAGGAGACCATCAATAGCATGGAGGTTCTGTTGCATAAACAAAATAAGGCTCCCAAGAGTCCTGAGGATGTTGAGGTTGATATAATTGGATGCACAAATAATAATGACACCAGAACAGTTAAAACTGAGGACCCAGATGCAACTGAATGTTCCAGTTCATTTGCGAACACTACATCTGATACTGAGAAATGTTCTGGATTGAGTGATGCTGAAGTGGAATCCCAGTTCATTGGTGGTGCTGCTTTTGCATCTGCTTATGGTGCATTTAGTGGTGTGTTTCATATGAGGTGTGCTTTTGTTCCATAATATTAACCTTTTAATCCTTATATGTTTGAGTATTAAAATTAAAATGTTAAAGTCCAGTGAAAGAACTGTAGTTGTCTTGTTACAAAGCCTAAAATCAATATAGAGTCAATATGTGGCTGCATATTGCGATGCAACTTTCTTATTTATGAAATGAGGAGTTATTAAGAAATTAATTTTCGTACCAAGAACTTCATTTGTTTGAGATGTGGAATGTCTGTTCAAAATATTTGAGATTTTGTTTGGTAAATTCTTCAGTTTTCTCTTCTTTCTATCCAAATCTTTGTTCATGGAAATATTACATGATACACATCAATCTTTGACTTTACAAGCAGACGTGTCGAAATCTTATGCTGTTTAGCATCCACATGCTTCAAACAATTATTTTGCTTGGTCTATTGATTCCAAGCTTGTGTTGATCATATAAGGGGATAAAAACAAGACTTTGGCGCGTATTCCTGCTCTCATCCAATTTTTATATACTTCTTCTGTGATCTTGATTATTTTTATGGATACACTACTCTGGAAAATGAAGTTTTAGTTATAAGATAAATTTATTTTACTATAGGCCGATGACATATAAATGCTGTAAAACTTTTTTCCTGATGTGCTTCATGCATGTTTCTGGTTAGTACTACACTTAACTTTGTTATGTTTCCCCTTTAGGAAGAAAAAGTTGACAAGTCATTGGAGGAGCTTCATTCGGCCTCTTATGTGGCGCTGCAAATGGACAGAACTGAGAATCAAAGAAATTGAGTCTCAAGCACTAAAATATGCTAGAGAACTTTCAGCATATGATCGGAGAAAATTTTCAGGAATTGATCAATCAACACTGGAAAGTTGTGGTTCAAAGTCATTGCCGTTTTCCAGTCAGTGTTACCGTAAAAAGGCCATAAAGCGAAGGAGACGAAAGAGAATTGAAGAAACAACTGATATAGCATCATACATGTCATGTCATAACTTATTTTCCTATCTTGGTATGAACTTTTTCTTTATTCTTGATCATTTTGGTTTAGGTGTTTTTCTCCTCTCCTTAACCTTAATGTCGTGTGATTTGCTTGGTAATATATTGCAGAAAACAAGAAAACAATTCCAGATGGCACTTATATTGTCGATGATTTTGCCAACACAGGTAATCTCCCTTTCAATGATTCAATAAGGATTCTGGATCCTAAGAAATAAAATATTTCACTACAGCTAGCCCCATTGGTAGTGTGTAAAAAATAGGCTGGCATGTTGAAAAACACAATCACATGTTGATTGCTAAATGGAAGTGATAATTGCTAATTGCTAAGGTAGAATCGCCATTTCATAGAATACTTTCTCATAGATATCAGTTTCTTTTAGTTTTGACTTGAAGTTGTCTTTGTCATTACTTCTCGCAGCCTATAGGGACCAACATACTGATTGCAACGATAAATTTGGCATTAATAATGATCAGTTGCTTTTGGAGTTCAGAGATGGTAATAATCCCTTGGAGCAAGTCCTTCGGAAAATTGAAATTGTGCGTTCTAGGGTTCAAAAACTCAGGAGTCAACTTGATCTGGTGATGTCCAAAAATGCTTCAAAATTTTCTTCCTCGGAGAATTTGAGCCTTCTTGCAGCTTGTGATGCTCAGACCAGCTCTGCTCCCAGCCCTACATTTTCAGCTGGCAATGGAGAAACAATATCAGCTGGACCTGCATATAATACAAATCAGCAAATTTCCGAATATGATGTTGGAGATCTGGTTATGCCTGCAAGTGCAGCTTTTCATGTTCCTGATATAATTGAAAGCACTGTTGGATTATTGTCATCTGCTGATGTTACTTGCCATCAGCCACAAATTGGAGACTTGTGTGAAGATGTAAGAATTCTTAACGTACATAACTTATATGTAGATTGTTGGCTCATGTTTTACCTGGTATGATAATGGAAGCATTGTTTAGTGCATTAATCACCGAAGCTTGAAAATTGTGTATTATGAAATCAGATTTTTGGCCTCCATTTTATTCTTTAAACTTGAAATATGATATTGTTAACTTGGGCGACCTACATTTTCTTTCCTCATGATATATTTCTTTTCCCATGATATATGATAATTGTTTATATTATTTGTTGCAAAAGTTCCAGGCAATATAGTAGGATGTAAACGAGTCAAGCTGCTGGCAAGTTATTTGAGCTTGATTCAAAAAAACTTGAGCTCGACTGTTCATTGTCGAGCTGAGCTTGAGTTCGAGCTACTCGAGTAACAAGTCAAGCCAAGTTTAAGTAGTTTAATATCCAACTTGAAAAACTCGCGAGCCTAATTGAGTTTTTATTTTTTAATATATATAAGTAAATGACAAAAATATAGTGCTTAATGTTAATATTTATAACTTATCATGCCTCTCGAGCCAAGCTCAAGCAGCTCAATTAAATTATGAGCCAAACAAGAGCATGAAAAATGAAACTTGATTGAGCTTGAGTCGTTCTTCGAGCCTTGAGTTTTCAAGTCAAGCCGAGTTTGAGCCTGATAGTGTATTGACTTGATTAAACTTGATTAAGGAGTATATGCAATCTTGCACTTTTATTAATAAAAAAGACTGCTATCTGTTTGAGTTTGACTTGTTTTCTTGCTTCTTATGCATGAAAATTTTGTTTTCTTTTTAAAAATTACCGCCATGTAGTTCTTGATATAGTTATGACAATTGAGAATCTATTTATCACTTTACCGATGATATTTGCAGATTGTGGAAAATGTTCTGATGCAAAATGAAGGAAATGCTAGAGATAAACAGATTTTAATGAGGACAAATAGTCAATCTATAAAGCAACATCATCAACCAGAGAAAGGTGAAGAAGGAGAGAGCACCAATCCTTGTCCTATTCCAACATCAGAACCTAATCATGCAACAAAATACATTGTCTCTCAGGAGCAATCAACTCTGAGGTCATGTCTAGCCTCAGATATCTGTTTCCCTAAGAGCAAAAGAAAGCGAGGGGAGCGTAAAGCCGGTTCTGGTGGTTGGAGCAGGAAACACTCAGGTGAGCCTGATAGCCAATGACTTCATTTTTTATGGGTCACTAAGCTTAGTAGGACCAACATATTTTTACTAGGTCACTCACAGAGGCACTGAAAATAAAGTACCATGGTCTTGATGCTCTAGATGTGTTCAACTGGAACTCCTAGACATGGTTTTCAGATCCAATAAATTGTAGTTCTGATTAGCTGCCTTCGACCGGCAGTCTTCATGAGGTCAAAAACCAATCTGCATTTCCATGATGATGACAATCGACTGTAAGCAAAAACTAGTTTCCTGATGTCGTTTCTTCCAGTTCAGATTTGCTGACACCATGAGCTACTTCTCCATCCCAATGTAGCAATGCAACCTTGATTGAGATGACTGAGTGAAGTTAATTCAACAGGGTCTTGTCCACTTCCAACTGTTTAGTGGCTGAAACAAATGAGCTCATCAAAGCTGAAAATCATCGTATGCCTGAAATCTTGTTTATGGTTATAAAAGAAATCATTGTTGTGAACTTTGGAATATTTTCAGCTGCATGAATTTTAACTTTTGTTTAAACCCCTTATTTTTATGGGCATAATAACATAAGTATTCTGAAGGCAAGCAGTCAATGGAGAAAATTTGGCGAGAACTTGCTGCTTTTTTTTTTTTTTTTCCGGAGATATATGCTGCTATTTCTCGTCGAGTGTTAGATTCGTCAGACATTACTGTTGGAAAATGAATTGCGTCCTGATCAAATGAGATAACCTTCATCATTATCAGCTAAGAAAGGAAAATTGTTTTCTATGGTCTATTCATCCTACAAAACAAAAGTTTATATTGGATGCCAAGTATCAGATCCGAATGCAAATCACTTCTGTTGCTTACCAATTGAGTCAATTGGGTATAAAAAAATCAACAATAAGATTCAAATTCAAAAGCGCTTATATTGAGACGAAGGAAATTATCAATTGAATTAATTCTTTATTAGTGAAATTTCATTTGCTTTTGAAATTTTACTTGAAATCCGATTTCATATGAAGCAAAATAACATGGTTTTTGCAGAGATGCCTAAACACTTTGATTGGAATGACATTATTCTCCTAAAATTTTGAGAACTTATAATCCAAGAAAAAATGGAGTTCAAAGTGGGAGGAGCTGTAGCAGTGCATGCTTTAAAGGGTATGGTCAGAATGCAAACACTTTGAAGAGTGTCAGCAGCTGCACGTTTTGCCACTTTCATTTCCTCTGGCAGTTTTCATTACTTGTGTTCTTCACGTGATGTGCCCCAAACACCACCTGATCAATTTCTTTTGATTGGATTAAACTGTTGGGTGAAGAAGTTGATTTTTTCATAGTGTTGATATTTTCATTTGACCTTAAGGAGTTCAGTAAAGCTTCCATAGTCTCCAATGACTTTTATAAGAACTTTTTTTTCTTCTTCCATTGTGGGGGTGAGCTCTTAAATTACATCCAATCCAAAGTGGACAAAATGATTTCCATGGTCTACAATGTACAAAAGCAAAAGATGCTGGAAACCCTGGTAGTATCTTTTGACCCTGGAAAGAAAAATGTCAGGCAATGGAGATCATATCCTTTTAAATCTACTTTTTTGAACTTTCCTTCATTATTAAACTCTGGCCTGGGATAGTTTTCAACACAATGAGATAATGGAAATTATTATATAATATAAAAGAAATCACTATGGTTTGAAGTAGAAAGCCTTTACTTCTAGCCCCCCAAATCACTTGATCGTGTCTCTTTGCAGCAGGTTTTGGAGTTTCTGATATAACACCACCCACAAATGAATCATGATGCAATTTTTCTTCTCCATTATATAAATATATATATATATATATATATATATATAAATCAGTAGGAATCATGCCTGCCAAAGGAAAACAGATAGGGCTGTAAAAAGAATGGAGAAAAAGAAAAGAAGCACATTGCCAACTCCTCCATCTTTGAGTCATCATCTCAACTTGAAGGCTAAAGGCTTTTTGATCTTTTCTCATCAGCTCTCTCATTTACATCATTCTTCAGCTTGCTTTATTTCATGCAACATCACAAGAACTCTCAAACAAGGTATGCCTTAAAAAATCTCTCCTTCTGTTTCTCACTGCAAGTACCCAACATGCTGTAAAGAGCTAACAAAATTCTACAATGCTCAAATCACTTCAAACATTCAGCATAATATATATATATATATATATATATGATTTGGGGAAGGAGATTCAAACTTTGTTCTTTGAGCAGAGAGCCATTCATCAACCAAGTGTCTGTTTGATGTAAAAACTGTAGTACACAATTTACATTTTTTATGTCCAAAATCTTATATATTGTCTGTCTTCTGTAAAACTTGTTGAAATCAGCTTGACAAATTGCATAGAAGGGTGATATTAATGTGCTCTTATTTTCATGGAGTTGCCCAAGAAATGTTCAAAATCTGCAGACTCTGCAGCTTTAGCACAATTGTCCACAAAGCTTAGCTTAGTGGCCTATATGTTTCTTTGATTAGATCCAAAGTGCCAAGTTAAGTCAGTGATTGGGCCTTTGGCTAGGGTCAAAATACCCAATCCAAATCTTCCACACCATATCTATCTGGTGATGTTGAAATTGTCAAAATACAACTATGAATTTTTCCTTTTTTTGATATATCTAGCAAAATAGGGAACCTGAAAATTGGCATGGTTAAGTTTAGAGTTTAGACCTATCAAATAGCTGCATATAAAAGCATATATGTTGAATCTGTGGAACTGCAATAATTAGTGTAGTTGCTTGTGGTTTTGCAATTGGCAATAACAATTCTCCAATGAATTCACAAAAACATCTTGTTCAGGATTTCATGCTTTACATGCGCTTGTTTTTCCATAGGAAGCCTTGGTATCAAAAAGCAATTGAGATGGCTACCGTGTGGAAAACTGTTTCAAAGACTGCTGAGATCCCAACAACAAATGCCACAATGTGGAAAACCATTTCCAAGCCCAAGGAAATTCCCATGGCGAATGCAACATTATGGAAAGCGATTCCCAAGTCCACTGAAATCCCTTCAGCTCATCCCAACAGAGAGAAGCTAAGAAAATATGCCTCCCTAAGGGTTGCCACTTCGTTTACTCGTCTTTGTCTTTGTGCACCAATCTCTTCCTACAATGAGGTTTTTCGTGCTGATGTTCCCCCTAGAAGAAGCAACAGTTACCCTAAGTCAAAGCCGTTACTTATGTCGCAAGAAAGAATACCTAGGGCGAGACTTAACACGGAAGGAAGAAGAGTTTTTCGCGGAAAATCCTTAATGGATGATGTTTTGACGAGGAGATTTGTCGTGGAAGAAGAAGCAATGATGCAAGTTAGGAGGAGGAACCAAATGGAAGTTATGAGGAGAAGTGTAATGAGAAGGAAGACGCTTGGCCCTAGTCCTCTTAGGAGAATGGTAATGGCTGAGAAGAAAGAAAACTTTTAACTTTTTTTTTTTTGAAAATTTACCCATCATTTCTCTTAGTTTAATTTTTTTGATTGGCTAAAGTGTTTGTAATTTTCTATGTGCAGTTTTTGCTATTGAATCAAACAATTCTTATGGTCGAAAAATTCTACAAATACGAATATAAAATAACGAAACTTACATCTTTTTTTTAGGAAAAAAGTGAGAATTCAAAAATTTTTTTAATAGAATTTATATATCAATAATTGAATTAAATGTTCAGATTCTAATATAGATCATTTCTTAAAGGACAACCCAAGGCTATTTTTTTTTTTTTATGAAATATTTATATCTTTGAATCAATCAACTTGCTTGTAAGCCACTCTGAACAAAACCATGCTGAACTTATAAATCAAGGATAGTAGTTATGCAATCTATATCACACTTACCAGGTTAGGTTATTTTGTGAGTAATAATTTCATTTCAATGCCAAACAAAAAAAAAAAAAGGCTTCTTTCTGTTTGCTTTGTCTTCTAGCTTGATTATGCTCTTTCTCCTGCAATTGCTGAATTTGTTATCTTTATTATACCAATCTGTATATTGTGTTTTCCCCATAATTGTCATAATTAAAACTTGGATTTTGTTTGGTTCATAATGAATTTTAAGTTAAGTGAAGATGACAAATATTTCTTAAAATATATTAAAAATAAAAAATAATTAACAAAAATGGATCAAGTGAAAGTCTTTGTGAAATTAAAAATTTTTAAGTTTTAATTATAAGTAAAAAGAAAGGGAAAGATGAAAATAGGTAGAAGTAGTTCAACTGTCAAAATAAAGGGAGACTTGTAATAGAAATCAAAGGTGCTCTTATTTTCATATGCAAATTTTTTTTTTTTTAACACAATTGTTCATATTTATTTATGTGATGATATCTACTCATGTGATACCTTATATTTACGTTGAAGAAACCAAAATAGCTTTGAAAGTAAGGTCGGTTTGGGCATCTATACTAAGAAATAGTTTTTTTTTTTTTGCTTGGAGCAAAATTTGTTAAATTGATCAAATCAAATTCGTTGCAAATGAACAACAACGACTTAATTAATTCATCGTGATTCCTCTACTCTGACCACAATTGCTCATTTCTAACGGAGAAAATGAGTTTTTTAAAATTTTATTTGATTTTTTTGTTTTTATAAAAGATGTCGTAGTTTAAAAATTACAAAAAATATTGTAAATATTAAAATTTAAATTTCAAATTTATTGAGTATCACGTTGAATCAACTGAATTAAATTTTGAATTCGAATTTTTTTTTTACTATTTGTTATTATTATTTTCATTAAAAACAAAAAGAAAAAAGGATAAAAAAAATCATTGAACTAAAATTCAATAATCATATAAACTTTTATTTATTTATATTTTTTGCAATCAATTAAGTTATCAAATATTTATTTTCATTAATTGAGCTTTTATTAAAAAAAATAGACATGTTTCTGTTCAATCGAATATTTAATTGAATGAAAATAAATGTATAAAGATTTAATTAGATGAAAATAAATATTTAAAGATTCAATTAATTTAAAATAAAAAATTTAGATCTTAATTGATTGTAATAAAATATTATTAAATTTTTGTTCGAAGAATTTTTTTTTACCCTTGTGCCAAACAAAAAGTAAAAACACCAAAAATTTACAGCTGCATCAAGATTCTAGGTAGTAATAATAATAATAATAATAATAATAATATAATAATAATAGTAGTGTAAAATACAATAACTTTGTATCTTCCTTTTATTATGGTGTCCATTGTAATGAAAGGAAAAAAAAAAAAAATCTGTTTTGATACAATGGGAATCCATCTTTAGACAATAATAGAATGTTTTAGTGAGGGATTCCAAATTCACATAATGATGAAAGACATTTTACCTACACATGTTTCACTTCAACTCTTATGAAAACAACTTTTAAGCTTATGGCAACCACATTTTTTAAAATATTTGTGGATGTTGTAGATTTTTTTTTCCCTTTCCTCCTCAACATCTCTTTCTCCCAAAGGCAAGATGTAGTGAGAGAATACAATGATGATTAATACTTGAGATAATTTTTTTTTTTAGTTTTGAAAATTTCAAATTTAAATTTCAACATAAATTATGTGATCTATCTATAAAAAAATAATTTATGTAAAAAATAAAAATCTTTAATTACATTTAGTTTTGTAAAAAAATATCCTTAAAAATCTCAATTG